GGCTTTCAATCACGTGTCTTTGAATGAGGGCAGTATTCGTCTGAGTAAGAATTAGCTAAAAATGATAGAGTGGGGTGGTACTTCAGAGAGGGAACATTGTCTGCTGAAAGCAGTTAGGAAATAGAATGATTCGTTTGGGTTACTAGGAGTATTTTTTTGTGGCTAGAATATAGGATATCAGTGGAGGAATATCAGAAGATGGAATTGGAAAACATGGATTTCCTAGAGTGTTTAATTAGAAATTGTGGGAGACCACTTAAAGATTTAGAGAATTGACAAGTTCCACTTTACTTTGTATCATTGTAGATAAAGATGGGAGAAGGCAAACTGGAGTTAGGGGTCTCTTGAGGCTGTTGCATTTCATCAGGGTCAAAACTGAGAACCTAAAATGGCATTGATGTAAAAAGGAAAGGATAGACACAAAAGATATGAGTGAGATGGGAATCTGTGGAACCTACTGTCTGATTATGTATGGGTGGGAAAAAAATTTACTAAGAAAGAGAAACAGAATTAGTCTTGGGAGACGTATATCAATTTTCTGTTATTCAATGAGGTAAAAATTAGAATGAATTTAAAGGAAAGAAGGTAGATTTAAGATATGTTAAATTTTCGATATTTATGTGTCTCCAAGTATGAATTTTTTGTGTCGTTGTTAGATAAAAGATGATTTGACACTAACTAAAGCCTTGTTTTTGGATTGGATTGCCCAGGCACAGAGCCACTTTGCTTGGTTTGTTTGCTTGAGTTTTTGAGACGGTCCCACTACTTTGGCCTTTCTATGTATCCTAGACTGGCTCAAACTTGCGGCGATCTTCCTGCTTCAGGCCTGCGCCACCACACCTAGCTAGAGCCAGGTCTCTTGTTATACCTTATTTATAAAATCTAATCCTTGAGAAATATATACTCCGCAGAGACCAGGACACAGTGGGTTCTCTGAGTCATCTTACTGGTCCTTGTAGTCAATTCCAAATGAGTCCTCAGTGAAAACCTGTCTTTTTCACACAGTCTGCTATCAGGATCCCTAGGCAGCAGTTATTATTATTCTCATAAACAAAACTTAAGACATTTTGTATTCCTCTAAAACTATTATCAATGTAGTCCAAATCCTTTTTTTTTTTTTTTTTTTTGGTACTGGGGTTCGAACTCGGGTCCTTGCGCTTGCAAGGCAGGCCACCGAACAACTGAGCTAAATCCCCAGCCCCCAAATCCATTTTTAACCTAATAAGAGTCATAGAAATAGCAGTCATTACTTTTATTTTTCTAGCTTGGATTTCACAGATCATCCAATGCTTTTCTTTAGTTTCTCTTCATGAAGCCTATGTGATAACATATCATAATTTCAGTTCAGTGTGGTAACATACCTGTTAACTCCCTTTTGGTATTTCACTAAAACCAATTACTTACACCTGTTTACTTGGCAGCATTGTCGAAAATCTTAGCCTTTCTCAGACCATAATTGTAAACTGTGAAGTGCTTCCCATCCCGTTTCCTCCCCCTAGCCAGTTGTACGTATTGTTTGAACTTCTCCCTGCACAACACTGCAGTTTGGCTTCTTGACTTACTCTTCTTTTGTTTCTTTGGCCCAATGGCCAAGTCTGAAGTGTGTAACTGAACTGCCTCCTCGTCTGTGGTGTCAGAAGGTAGGAGTAGAGTGGAGGCAGAGCTTTCATGAATGTAGTGGATTCTACAGTGGCTTCAGCAGCTGTTATTTTAGAGCACTGTCGCCATTTTCCCTTTGGGTATGAATCCTTCAAGGTTCAAGGACGCTGGGAGCCTGTAATTTGTGGGTATACTCAAAACGTTTTTGTAACTGCAGCTGAGTCAACATCAAGGGAGAGAGAGTTTATTCTTGCAGTTAAAATGTCAATGGTAATATGGCCTGTAATCCCAGCACTCGGGAGGCTGAGGCAGGAGGATTGCTGTGAGTTCGAGACCAGCCTAGTGAG